AGCATTTAAAATACAATAGTTGCGGCTTGTTGCCAGAGTTGAAAGGTTTTGATCTCATAAGTGATGTGCTGGTGGACGGAGGTGTAAATAAATACCTATAAAGGTAAACCAGCCTCCAAAAAATACTTATTGTCTCACAATCTTCTACCCTTCTGCCTTTCAGGGACAATAGCAGTGTAGCCCAAATGCAATTATATCTCTCTTAGCCACAACATAAATGCAAAAATATTCTTAACATATTTCAATAGCAGATTTATAGCACATAGCTGTTTATTACCAGCTGATTAATGGCTCAGTAGCAGCGAAGAAATCAAAATTCAAGGTTTTTTTTAATAAGATGGTTCAATCATCTTTAATGGAGATTATAAATTAGAATAAACTGAGACTCAAAATGTACTTTGAGCATTCAATAGGAAGACAGGACTCAGTAGGAAAAAAAGCAGTAGGAAAAAAAGCAGTAGGAAAAAAAGCAGGAAAACAGAAGCAACTAACCCAAACACAAGACGGATTGATACAATAAAGGAAATCATGACCTTTAGTCTGCAAGATCTGAGCACTGCTGTTAATGACATGTCATTATTCCACCACTATGTCAGAAGGCTTTCACTCCTGAGTTTGATCAAATACAACTTGTCAGTGACCTTGTCTGAATGTGACAGATTCTGGTTAACTTGATTTACAATTTGTTAGTAAGAAGCCAACTTAAAACCACAAACTATGAAACTGGTTTCCTTCAACAAACATAGTCAACAAATTGTAAATTAAAATCGGTTTGTAGTCCTAAACTGTGGTTATTCTATGATGGAGGTCAAAGTTTCTGATCTTGTTGGTGCAGTTGTGCTGGATAAGGTGAGTGGAGTATATAGAGCTGGAGGCTCTCTTACGCTGTCACCTGTCATTAAAACCATAATGCTATGCTTCAAAATAGGGTTTCAGCCAATGACATGTACTTAAATGTTTGCTTCATTTATATACTGCCGTTCCTCAGAAGGAACTTATGACTACTAACAAAGAGTCCAAGATGGCTCCAAAGTATGCAAAACATATAACACAAGCGGAAACTATGTTCGTTCTCCCTCCTGTGCACAGTCTAAAACTTGGCTTCTGCCAGCGATACAGCACTTGAATAGAGAGAGGACACCCTTGGATGCTGACCAGTGGATATGCTTAAATGAAACTGGCAGACATGATGCCTACTTTGCAATGTCAAATGGGAAACTCACTTGAAAAAGAAGGCCTTTCATCTGGATTTTGTGCCCAGCCAGATTCCATTAATGATACCATCAATCCTCGGTGTGGAATATCAAAGGGCAAATATTCTTCGCCGGTGTTTGGACGCCTTCCTTGAGACACACTATACATAATCTGCAAGGGGTTTATAACATCTGTCAAAGTAGATATTATGCACTTATTAGAAATACATGTACTTCTTATCCAGTAGTGAAAACACAGGTGAGAATAGAGAATATACATCACGTTTCATATTATATTATGTTGCCAACAAAGATTTCTTTAACATAAGAAGGTCGCTCAATACAGAGTCAGGTCATTGCTCCATGTAGCTGAGTCTTGCAACTCTTGACTAGAAAGGTTTTAAGCAAAATTCTTCCCGTAGTCCTCCTTGGGGATGCTGGGAAGTTACCTGGAACCATCTGCATGCTAAATAGGCACTGCACCAGTTATAGGTCATTCTTAATTAATCTAGCAAAATATGTCACCTCCAAAGCTTTTACTGAGCTGTTCATTTAACTGCATGAGAAAAAGTATGGTTTATTGGGCAAAAGTATTTGCCCAATAAAATGATACTGTTCAATATTAACCCAGCCTAAATTCTCCTGTATAGAATTATAAAACAGGAAAGGAAATTTATTTATTTAAAATACTTTTATTTATTTATTTATTAGGTTTATACCTTGCCCATCTAGACAGATAGTCTACTCTGGGCGGCATAACAAAGTTTAAAAGCAATAAAACCAATAACATACAAAAATCCAAGATGTAAACATATAGATATTAAAATACAGCAGGACGGAAAGCCTGCCTAAATAGCCATGTCTTGAGTTTACATCTAAAGACCCCCCAGAGAGGGTGTCTTTATCCCATTTCCCCCTAAAAAGCAATCCAATGCATTTTATGGTTGTTGTGGGGTTTTTTGGGCTCTTTGGCTATGTTCTGAAGGTTGTTCTTCCTAACATTTCGCCAGTCTCTGTGGCTGATATCTTCAGAGGACAGCACTGTGCCGGCCACAGAGACTGGCGAAACGTTAGGAAGAACAACCTTCAGAACTCAGCCAAAAAGCCCAAAAAAACCCACAACAACCTTTAGATCCCAGCCATGAAAGCCTTCGCGAATACCAAAGCATTTTACGTTATTAAAACCTAACAACAGAGAGTACACAAATACTAAAAAAGATCAAATACCATATTAAAAAATGGTAAACAGAATAAAAACTGACCTTCAAATGGTTGTTTTCTTGACATTACTTCCCACATAATAATGGCATAACTG